GTATCTCTAATGTTTTTCTGAATTTTCCTAGGCCATCAATAGGCCATAAGGCCTATTGATGTTTGATCAAACGTAATTTGGTTATTAAATCTTGGAATCACGTGTTAGAACTGACAAGTTAGATTTGTTAGGAGTCACACGTTAAAAGCTGAGACCTCGTTAGTCCTTAGCTCAAACAAGTTTCGACTTCTTAGGGGTTGTCGTTCGTAGGAGTACGACAGCTGGTTAACGGAAAAAGATATTTATTTAAACATATATAGTCCCATAAAAGTACTTACAGGAATAAGTAGTATGAGATCCAGAGGCTTCTATCTATTTAGCAAGCTAATTTGACAAATTATTAATATTCAAACCCATTACTTGATGAAAATTAATAACAGTAACTGATGAACCTACTTATTTCAACATATAATGGATAATTTGACAAATAATGTATTAGTAATACAACACATTATGAAACACATCTTAGGCATTAATATTACTGAAGAGCAATTAGATATTTCACAGAAGAATAAAACATTTTGAGTTTTCAACTATAAGTATTTGCTAACTTAATAATTTTATTTTCTGTTTAATTTTGACCACTATTTGTTTGGCGAAATGGAATTCTTATCAGATAGGGCAGTTAGTTCATTAGGTGCACTGCAGTATCTGATGAAAAAAATCAACCCTAATTAAAGAAAAATTCATGCACGAAAATAATTAACTCGATATGTGCATAAAACTAATTATCCCAACCGTCATATATGGCTTCAGTCAAAAGATCCTGTGACAACCAGCATATCCACTAAGTCAGCTGCAGCCTCCATTTTGGCAACGAAGCGTTGTTCATTCCTTAGACTTGATTACGCTGCACTTGTGAGGTTAAAAACCAGAAATACATGTCTGCAGTTAGCCAAACTTCTTGTTTGATTGATAGTCTATGATTTTTCTCTTCTGCTCTGGGTTTTGTAGTTGTGACAATATAGTATTTGACAGTGTAGGTTCTGATGAATGCCTGCAGAAAAACAACTACTTTCCCGGCCAATACCACGCTGGATATTGAATTATATCCGACAGACATGTATGCAAGATACCTCGCAGGGGTTAGTCTCGCAGATATGTTTCGTTCATCCAGCAGCAGGATCATCCTGAAATCATTCAAGTAGATTACCTAAAGACCTGTTTGGAGGTATAACCTCTCATCAGTGCAGGAAAGATCCGACCCAAACAGCAAAGTGCCTACCTGGGACTCAAATAATTTCAGTTCGACTGCATGTATGGAACTTCCGTCCAAGAGAAAGATTGTTAACTAGTAAAAAGTTTCTCAACTTCTGAGAGTTGTCGTTCGTATGGGGGCGACAGCTGATTAACGGAAATAACATAAACAGAACAGCTCCATCTCGTGAAAAAAAACTCCAAGCAGGGAAGAAACATCCCATGTACCAATACTCTGAAGACTGGATAGTCTATAAAATCTCAAAATATTCGTCTGTCCCAACTATGAGGGACTTGTTAAAATCATCTGACTTGACAACTTGCTCGTTGATATGTGGTTTAACACGTGGTTTGTACAGGAAAATTTGGTCAAGCTAAAAAAAGCTTATTTTAACAGAAACATGTGTTTTAAGTATTTTTATTGAGTTTATAGGCCAAGTCAATTGAATTGGTAATAGGTTTGAAAGAAAAAAATATATGATTCTGACAAGGTAAGTAAATTTATTTTTGTACAGATTTCTCTATGAAACATTGTTTTTTGAATAAAAAAATTGCAGTATGCTAATTCGACACTTATTTTCAAGAACACAATATTCATTTAAAGAAAATGCACAATTTGAAAGCCTGTTTCTACAATTGTAAGGAATTTCTTTTTCTGATTGAAAACTTTCAAGTTCTTTGCATTCATATTCATTCAAAAACATTCTTTGTTAGGAAATAACTTCTATTACTAACGTAAAGGAATAGTTACAAATCATGTTTCCTATATACAGAGTATATCAACAATGCGTGGGTTGACGACAGCAGCTTCTCTGTTTGTGATAGGAACAGAAGAAGCTTCAAATAAAAGTAGAGTAATGAAAGTTAAGTTTTGAAAATATAGCATCAATATATAGGGTATTCAATAAATGTGATTTAACAAAGTTTTACTTTTTAAATAGAACACTGTATATTTTTTACTCGAATGATTTGCTTCAAAAATATAAGTTTATTGGGATGTATACTGTCCAAAATGGATTCAGACAGGGGATTTCAAAACTCGGATAACTTTTTTTATAATTAAGCGACCTTTAAATAAGTTCATACCAGAATAATTCACACACTATAAGCTTACAGAAAATATAGGGTTTGACACCTTGATTTCTTTCAGAAATTTATCTAATTTTTGTGGAAAGTATGAACTCGAAACAATTTTGAAAAACATAAATCTATGCGTAAACTAGGTCTATCTTCAATTTCGTTAATAATTTGAAGTACTGCTTATCTTATAATAGAGTGAAAAACTTCTATAAGTCTATTTTTCTTTCACTATCATTAATTTTCAGCGGTAGAGCCAGACAGAAACATATAATAATTTGAGAGTAGTATATCTTTTGAATTATATCTGATTTCTTTGATTTTGCTAATCTGTGTTTATGTTCCTCCATAACACATTTATTCATATATTATAGTTACTAAGGTTCGATAGGCTGAACAATGTATGCAGCACAATTCAATTCTACTAGGAAATTAATATTACTGGAGTTTTTTCCCAACACCAAATCGATATTTTAACACCTCGACGTGTTTCGATCAACAAGTGATCATCTTCAAGAGGAAGATTAAAGTAGAAACTATCGCGAAGCTAATGCTATTTATGCTATATAGATATACCCTACACCAAAGGTTCCAAATAGTGCATCATATCTACTAGGAAAAGCAAGGAATCAATTTTCTTTAAGAAGGTAACTGTGGAGAAACCTATCAATGACATATGACACAGTTCTAACTAATTACATACTCAACTCAAACACTCTTTACAGTACAATGAAATCAAAACTCTCATACATTGTAAAAAATCAGAGTCCAAACAGTTAAGGTGAATTTGAGTTTTTACAAAATATCAAACGTTATTGTGACTGAATGTCAACAACTTCAAACAAAGTTATTGTGTCTTTTTCAGTATTTTGTAACATTATCCCCCTCGGTGTAAATTTACCCCCAGCTCAGATATTCAGGATAATGTAGATTCCGTGTGCCATCTGTAGATCGGCAACTTTGACGATACCTTGGAGACCTATATAAACTTTTTGAACTTATCTATAAACCAAACACCTATCGCAAAATCATTTTCAAGAATAATCACAAGTTGGTCCAGACGCGGAAATCAGAACATTCGTAAAAGAGAAAAAAATGTCAAATAACCTACTGTAATGAATATTTTTTTAATTGAATCTCAATCTGAGTTTTCCATGTTTCTTAATGTATCAGGTATCCTATTGTATAATATGTATTCCTGAATGATAAATTGATCTATATTCAAAGTAAATTCTTCGTTAATGAATTGTTTGAATGAATTAAATGGTCACATCGGTTTGGTGGCAAACCTCTCGTCCCCCCTCGACAGGGCCCGATCTAGGGGGGCAAACCAGGCAATTGCCCGGGGCGGCAAAATTGAGGGCGACGCGGCGTCGGCGGCGAAAATTTGAAAGATCTAACGAAATTAACTTTAAACGTTCAAGCCAGTCTCGATATACCTACACAGTAGGTTGAATGGATTGACGCCAATCAGAAAACAACTACTCCTCTAGCTAATACCACAAAGGGCGTTGGATTATATCCGACAGGAGGAATTATCAAAACTAGAAATCAATAGTTCCGCTGGAGAGTAGTTGTTTTCTGATAGGCGTCAGTTCATTCAACCTACCTTGTATGCATATCGAGACTGGCTTGAACGTTTAAAGTTCATTTCTTTAGATTTGTTTGCTGTCAGTCTTCAAGCATAGCCTACTGACTAATAAGAAAATTTGAAAGATGGTTAAACAAAAAAAAAACACATTCTACACAAAAGTTGTTAGAATATAATATATTACTATTGACATCACTGAAATTTCACATCATATTTTAGTAGATTACAAAAATCACACCATCTATGGAATAACGCATGGGTAAAAGGCGGCAAATATTATTTTGCCCGGAGTGACGAAATAGCTGGATCGGGCGCTGCCCCTCGAGAGTGTGCTGCTTGTTTACGCAGATTCCCATTGTTTCGAGATTCAACACAATACACCTCAAAGAAACTTTTTTGAATGGTATCATTTGGAGAATACCCTGCTTTGTGGAATAATCTCCCCGATATGTTTTCCAGTGATTTCAACCCAACGTAAATCTTCACTTCCATGCAGGAAAGTGTATACAAAAAAAAAATTTAGTGGATATGCATTTATTATTAACTATATATAGTAAGCTAAAATTTGACGAAAATTATTTCAGCGTTGAGGCTAAAATATTTCCGAGTGTTTTGCTCGCAAAGGAATTAAATTTATCAGCTGCAAAAATGGTATATTATTCTCTATAATAATGGAATCCCACTTTAAGACCTTCCTTCTTGTGTTACTTTTGTGTTATATTTTTAATAGGTTTTGTAACCATGTGCACACCATGATAAAATAAAGCATAAGTTCTTTCTATCTCTCTCTCTCTCCAATCAATAAGGATTTTAAAAACTGATATTAAAAAATATATCTTTTAGTGCTATTATGACAGTAATATGAGATACCAGGAAAGATTTCAGAATTCTATTTTCATTCATATTGTGATCGTCAACCACTCTTTATGACAGCCACTATATAATTTTCGTTAATGAAATTACAAATTTTGAAGGAAAACTAAAAGCTGTTTTTTTATATTTGCGACCTTTTCGTTTTAAGCTTTATTGATTGATATGACGCGCATGTGCGATCGGGAACTCCAAATAAATATTCATCTCTTTCTTGGAGAGTTATCCTCATAGCTACTGCTGGCCGACTCTACTTTCCTCGGTAGAGTAGCCCAAATAGTTTTCTCTACAAATGAAGTGAAAAAATTGACATTTACTTAAGTGGGCCAATCTGCAGCATCCCTATGGAGCAGTTTAGAAAAACCAGATTTTTCAAATTCACTTGAATATGAACACGTTATTTTTCGTTTTTGCTTTGTTTTATTGTGTTAGTGATTGTATTTTGGGTAAGTAGATATTTATATAGGAATTTTGAATTATTATTGAAAGGATCACATGAACATGCTTTCTCAAATTTAAAATTTAGATCAATACATATATTTCTAAGAGAATGCAGCAGTTTGATGTTTTATCAAATATAATGATGATAACAAAACTAATAACAGCAAGAACAGGTTTGATTCTGGGATATAATGTTCATAAGAATATGGCATAGAAATGGGAATAATTTTGAGAAGAAAAGAATAATCTTCCAGGTTTATTAGACACGCGATCACAAATGGAAATATTATTTTCAAATTAATTATGAAAGCCTTTAACATATGGAAATAATTAATAGAAATAAAAATTGACTATTATAGTATACCGGGTGACAACGAAATCATTGTCCACGGAATCACTCAATTGTTCACGAGGTTAAAAATTTGAAATTTGGATTATAGGTACCTATAGTTCGCCTAAGCCGATATGTTTAATGATGGAACACTTGAAAATCCGTGCAGGGTTAACCGTAGATGAACCGAAGTCAAGAATTTCAAATAGAATCCTGTATATTTTTTTTGACCATTTCATTGGATATAACATTTTCTTTTCAACGATATAACACATAATGTTTTTCAAATGCTATATACTTTACTTCATTTATCTCGATAATCTCAATAGGAAGTGATATTTTCTGAACTTTGACATCAAAGGTTCCTTGTTTAGTAGTTAGTAGTTGTTACTACCACTAAAAAATGTCAACGATACTGAGCTGTTTATTTAAAATTGTCAAAGCTGATCTATATTATTGTGAGTTGATAAATACTCACTCATCTTCATCTTCAACATTTTTGTAAGTAAAAAAAGTACACTTCGATGTTAATGTTCGAAAAAATACCAATTGGTATTTGTGGTGAAAAATTAAAATTTTTGAATTTTCATTAAAAAACTGGTCAAATTTCGTCGTTTGTCTCTCACTACATCGAGTTGTTTGATAATATTTCTATATATGACATCATAGTGTCGCCATATTGAATTTGAAGAAAATTTATTTTCCATATTGAATGGAAATGGTCAAGTGTTTTATATCCGATCAAATGGTCACAAAATATGCAGGATTCTATTTGAAATTCTTGTCTTGGGTTCACTTCCTGTTAACCCTGTATATATTTTCAAGTGTTTCATCATTAAATATATCGGGTTCCCTGAACCACAGTAAGAATCAACAAGTAAGTCCACTCCCACTACTTTCATTCATAAATTCACAAAGTTTTTGGTGACCTCGAAAACGAAGTGCGGAGCCTATTTCGTTCTTTTACCATAGACGTGCGCTCATATAATAATGTTTTTTTGCATCTCCCATTTTCTAATCACTTAATAATAAAACGATCAACAATAACCAACTACAAAAACTAAAAACAATAATAACAACAGCAAATAAACACAAAATCAATTTCCGACCGTTTATTATAACTAACCCGATGCCCGTGGTACCGTCGAATCCTTCGATACTACAGTACTGTACGCGTTGGATGAGAATCTAAGAACGATTGAAGGTCCCCGGCAACTCGGGCGGATCACGTGGTAAGAGAGACTATATTATACTGTCTATAGACTGGTTATATACTATATACTGGTTATATTATTCTACTGTGGTTGAACTATATTCTTATTCTGAATTTCAGATTTCTTACCTCATAAATAACTGAATGACGCAGTGACGTACAATGATTTCGTTGTAACCCAGTAGAATCTGAATGAAAACATTTACTATACATCTTCTCAATTACCTATTGCTGTGGGACCCTGTTGAAAAAGGAATATAGTTCATAATTTGTGGACGTTCTTTCAAAGTACACATTTAATTTTCCTTGCAGACAAGTTTTAGGTTGATATTTGGTTAAGATAAATTAATGGAGAAATAAAAAATGAGAATTCATTCTTGCCATATTCTCTTTTTAGGTAGCAAGAATGGCACAAATTTGAAAAAAGCAGTTGAAGATTATTACCTGAACTACGACTATGAAGTAGCCAATAACTCAGTAAACATAGAATTCAAATCAGAATCACTGATACTACCAAATCCGGAAAGTTTAGATTCTAAATACACCATCGATATACTACCAAATGTAGAGCTTCCTGATGACTCTCTAGCAGATTCAGATTTACGTGATCATGATTTCATAGACAATATAATGTACGTTTACTATGGCTCGCAGCATAGAAATGTTGGAACATACGGCCCAGAAATTATTATCATAGGGTCAGTACTTAGTTGCGCACCTCAGCTGCTAACCATTTTTTGTGTGCTGCTCAAGAAAAATCAGAGAGGGGAGAGAATGATGACTTATATATTTTTCCAAATAATGGGAACTTTCTGCATATCCAATTTAATTTTCATGTTGGGAGTTTATGTAAGTTGAATTGAAATCAAGATTAATAAAATTTGAAACGAAAAATACTGCCCTTTATGTCTGAGTTATATAAGAACATATAGGCTTTTACAATCGTAGTCACGATTGAAGAGAATAAAATCTAGCTGGTAGGCAGTAGTAATAACGGCTCGTACATTGGGGAACAGGGGAGGCTTAAGTCATATAGACTATATACACACAGAAAAGTCCGCCGGAGGCACGAAAATTTTTATGTTGTTGCACGCTTTGCTTAATACTAAAGTTAGGGCATATCTAATCATAGGTTTGCGGAATTAAGTTTTGCCTAAAATTATAGGTGTCATACGTACGAATTAAAAAATTAAATAAATCGACAGCTGTGCGCCCAGATGAAACATCATGAAAACCCATAAAACGTTCTACCACATTACCATCTTTTACATATCTAAAAACGATTGAAAGTTATGATGTACAAGTAATATCGGTAGTTTCATCAATTTCCCATGCAAAAAAAGAAACCCTTTCAATCTCCTTGCTTATATTTTCCTTAATAATGTATGCCACACTGTCTATAATAAGCTCATTTTGGATGGTTTTTGAGGTGCCCGAAAAAACGCTACCGTTTAAAAAAGTGCCAAATTGTGAATCATATTTGCCATAACACGAGCTAAATTTTTTGAATCGGACTATCCTATTTTAGACCACGTTTGGTATTCGGTTTGCACGAAAAATAAAACACAGGGCCAACAAAAAAGTTGGCAGACAAATCTTTTAGTACTTCAGGTTCTTTTCGACCACGGCCTACCAGCAGGGATTTTTTTCTCTTCAATTGGAGTTGAGTTTTCAATAATATTGTAAGTAAACTATTTTAATTTTTTTTGAGATACTCAATCAATTCAATAATTTTAATTATTTCTAAAGAACAATGAACTAAACTAGTAACCTTTTGAAATATTGAACTATTTTGTTGATAATAATGACAATTTTATTTTCTTTCATGGGTTATAAAAGTTATTACCGATGTATGTACGTGGGTTGTTCAAAAAATAAGGTGAATGTTCAAATTCGTATCAGTATTCGATCAGCTATTTTTTTATGTTGGGACACTCGTCTCGATCATATGTTCACAGTTTCGGCTGTTGAGCATGTTAAGTTTGTTGATGAGAGGCATAAGAGTCAGAAGTGTTTTTGTGTGTTCGGCGATTTTCTACTGTTTACAAGTTTTCCACAGAAGGCCGATGAAAATGTTGAATCGTCGAATCACTATTAGAGAAGTTGCTGGGGATGTCGGCATGTTAGTTGGCTCATGCCATGTCATTTTTTCGGAAATTTTGGGCATGAAGCGTGTAGCAGCTAAGTTCGTTCCAAAATAGCTGAATTTTTATAAAAAAAAAACCGTTGCATGAGCATCGCTCAGGAATTGTTGAATGATCTTAATGGTGATCCAGATTTGCCTGAAAGAGTCATAACTGGTGACGAATCATGGGTATATGGTTATGACATCGAAAACAAAGTCCATTCGTCCCAATGAAACAGACCAGGAGAGCCAAAACTAAAAGAAGCACGCCAAGTTCGATCAAATGTCAAGGTTTTGCTCAGTTTTCTTTAATTACCATGGTGTAGTGCATCAAGAGTTTTTGCCAAATGGTTGAACGGTCAATAAGGAGTATTATCTTGAAGTTATGTGCCACTTGAGAGAAGCAATATGAAAAAAAAACTGTATTGCAGAAAAACAATTCATGGCTTTTTTTGGCCAAAAATAATCATGCCTCGGCCACCGTATTCACCAGATTTGACCCCTAGCGACTTATTCCTATTCCGAAGATTGAAGAGACTCATGAAAGGACGGTGCTTTGCGACGATTGAGGAGGTAAAAACCAAATAGCTGAGAGCTCAAGGACATACCAAATGGTGCATATCAGAACTTCTTCGAGGATTGGAAAAAACACTGGCACAAGTAATACACTTGAGGGGGCTACTTTGAAGGGGAGAAAATGTAAATTGATGAATAAATAAATACTTTTCGAGAAAAATTACAATTTACCTTATTTTTTGAACGGAGTAGTAAATGTTTGGAATTGTCCAAGTATCTCAAAAAATTATGAGGGTTATTTAGGAACAAATGCAGATAAATTTCTCTGGAATATTGTTTTATTTTTTTTTTCTGTTCAACCATCTGTACAATATTTTAACCATGAAACATGTTATATTTACAAGTGCGTAAACACTGATTTGATTTCATATTGAGTTTGGCTGATGCTATGAGATATTCACTATCTGCGGTCCATTAGAAACAGTTTTTAATCTTCATTGGCATAAAATGATTGTAAAATACTCCCCATACCAGAACAAAAACACTGTCTCTCGATACATACTCTGTTAACACATTTTAGCATATCCAGATTTTGTAATGATACTAACCAAGTTGGCACTCTGATGAAATGATAGTTCTAACTCATTGGTTAGCAAAACTCGCGTCGAGACACAACCGTACTTTAGTTTTTGTGTGGGGACGTGATTTAGAGTTTTTAATCTTTAAAAGTTCATTTTTCGGTTCAGGATATTATTATTTTGGAAAGTAGATTAGTACTGCTAAGCATGTCACACTCTGGCAAGAATAACGTAACAACTCAAAATTGAAAAAATATGATTTGATGTTAGTCTTGTAAAAATATAAAAAATATTTTTAACTTACATAAAACAAGTAAGTGAATCAATTCCTTGGAAATGAAGGTATATGTTATAGTAATTATCCTTTTCAAACTATTTGGACCCCGATTTTACAATACAGAGGAACCCTGATTTCGCTGTTCTGTTCTATTTGGGGTTGTGTTATTACTTTTTTCAGGGTGCGATATGACTTATTTATGAGGTGGTAATGCATTTTATAAGTTTATACCATCCGTTCGTCTTCTCGCTCTATATATTATTTATTAACTGACTCGTTTTTCAAGGCCACAAAGAGCACAACAAAATGCCTCATAATATCCCTCATATTATATTTTTTACATCTGATGACAGCAGTATGGGTGTGCTTGTATTGTTTCTATGTATATAAACGATTTTCCAACAATGGACTCGTCAAAGAAAGGCATCTCAAAGTTAAATACTTCAACATTGCTGCTTACGATATTCCAACATTCCTAACTTTGGTAATTGTCAGTTCCATTCTAATTTACGAAATTTTAAAAAAAACTCTCTTCCAGGCCACATATTTTATAGCACCGCAAAGCTATGAATCTAAACGATTCTGCTTCATCTCGGTTCAGAAAGGAATGATTTTGAACTACATGCTGCCAGTATCTGTCCTTATAGTGTTGACAACTATATACTCCCTTAGTGGAATCAGAAAAATCAATATGGAATTATCAAAACTAGAAATCAATAGTTCCGCTGAATCTCTCAATGCTCTTCGCAACGAACTGGAATTTCTGAAAGAGAAAAAGGATGACTATATGGATGATGAAATAGTTAGTCTGAGAGAATCAAAGACTTGCTTAAAGTCTCTTTGTATCATACAGACTTTGTATGATATAGTTTGGTTTGTGGTAGTTTTAGCTCTGGAGAATGTCAATGATAGTAATGGAATGGCTGTCATATATGCTATCATGTCATGTCTGTTGGTAAGTTTTGATTGCTATTTCAAATGTGAAAATTATTCAAAATTGAATATTCTCAAAGCGAACTACTTCATTATTGGAATATACTGTGTGTTATTTTTTTGCATCTCAAAGAAATTTTGAGCTGATTTTTGACTTATGTCGAAACAATATGATCGATTTTAATGGAGTACTTTTCATTTGCGGGGAGCTTGTACGTAGAAGCAAAAAAGTTCATGAATATTTTTAGGAGAGATTAATTTTTGGGAAAGATAGGTTTTGGCCAATTTAATAGTTGTCTTTCAACTATTTTTAATTGCAAGTGAGCCGTGAGAATGTATTACTTCAAAATATGTTCTCAAAATTCAGAATTACTCATTGAACTGACATTTCGTTGTAAAATATATAGTTTCTAACGAAAAACAACAATAAAAACATGTCAAAAACTACACCTCACGATTTGATCTCCACAAACTTTATTTGAAAAACCATTTGGGATATCCTTCACAAATGAATTTTATTTTAAAATTTTGAGAAAGATCTTTTTGACATTCTACTTCTACAATAAGTATTGGAAAATTGTGAATGAAGAAAGTAATTAACTTCAATGAAATCTCTTTACTGGAAGAAACAACTACTTTCAAGGAGGTGGTTACTGAATTACAAGGAAATTACTTTATCCAAATCGGTTAGCACTCCACATATTAGTTATGAAATTGAAGCAGATATCCTGTGAAGAATATAAAAACTTCACTTACATGAAAAACTATCACATTGTTGGTGTTCGTCAAAGTTTTGGGTAAAGACACTTGAAAACTCTTCATCAGCACCTTTTTTGGTCAAATTTGAAAGGATTACCACATTTATCGTTAATTGAACAATATACTATTTTTATTGATATTTTCAAGTTGAAATTGTAATGTATAATAAATTCAAGAAGTTTTGATTCACAGTATTTTCATTGTGATAACAGGAATTAATGGAGATTTTTCAAATGAAAGTGATCGCAAAAAGTTTTTCAAGTCTTTTCAAAAAATTTATTTTTCATAAAAAACAATGCTAAGCTTGATAAATAAGTATTATGCCTTCAAAATGAAAAGAGAAAGTGTTAACCTAACTACTCTCTACTGGTAACGCTTTCAGTGAGATATTAATTTTTCACTACTATTGTATAACATTTTTCATGTGAAGAGGAAAAAATTAATTTTTTTTCAGAACTGGTACATTTTCATCAAAAGGAAAAGCCTAATGCCCACTCTCAGTGATCTTCCAGAAGAAATTAATGAAATTGTTATCGAGAAAGAACAAGAACTCATCATCACTGCCTCTGCCAATGTTTCAAGGAGAGGTTCATCGGACAGTATTCCATTACTGAATTCAGATTCTTGCACTGAAATGAGAGACCTGCGTTTAGATCAGATAAGTACTATAAGCAGTTAAACTAAAAAAAAAGTTTTACAATTGGTAGAGATATTAAGTGTATCAAAAAATCGTTTTATATGATTTTAACCTAGTTGTGCCAACTAGACTAATAATGAAATTATCTGGTGAGAAAGTAGGAATTGAATTGGTTATTAATTGAATTGAAAAACACATACTTAATTCAATACAATGAAAATGGTATGATGTTCCAAGTAGGCAACTGAAAGCAGATATTCATGAAAGACAAATTATTTCATGTAGTGAATTGATGTAATTATGAAATGTTTTGTAATTGATAGATTAGATAACTTGATTCAATGAAAATACATGTAGACTATGGAATAGAACATGTCTGACCAGCAAACTTATGAATTTATGTCAGAAAGGGATAAATATTACACCAGTGAGACTTTTCCAGTTAGTTTTTCATATTTACAATACTGTTCAACTTGGAGACCTTCCCTTGTAAAATATCAAGTTATTCTCATGGTTGAATTATCATTGGCTTAAAAAACTTTTCAAGCACAACAAAACTGTAAAAACACTAGTCTCGACGAATGTTTTCAACATTGTTGGCAACAACTGTAGATAACTGGTCACTAGTAGCTGAATTGGTAAAAGTTTTCACAGTTCTGGTTTCCTAATGGCTGATAGAAATTATTCTCCCAGTTAACTTCTCAATACATGTCTAATACCAAAGGGTGCTTTAAACTTTAAGGAAAACGGAAGACATTTAAACAATAAATAACCTGTCACGTAAAGTTTCATTAGGATATATGTCGATATGCTATTAGTGAAAGTTAATTTGACTGAAATAAGATTATATTTGGCCAGAAAAAGTGGACCTTTCATTGGCGGGGGCTGCCGATTTAAATGTATGTCAACTATTACACTCAACAATAACCATTTAATTTAAAAGTCATGATTATTTGATATGCGGGCACCGAAAACTGTAAAATTTATGAAATATCAAGAAAATATTCAATAATTCTTCACCACATAGATACACGGAACAAACGCATGCTTTTTCTGAACTTTATGAAATTAGTTGTCACTCACACCACAATGATGACAGAATGATTTTGAACTACATGCTGCCAGTATCTGTATCAGATTCATTTTATTCCGAATACAAAACTAAAATTAGCACCAAACTCGAAAATCTAGAAAAACAAGTTTCAATGTTATAAGATTACACAGGCATTTACTTTAAATGTGGTAAAGGTTTACAGAGCTACAAATTTGGATTGAAACTAAACTTTCTAACTTTTTACCTTCAAATTTTTTGCAAATATGAAAAGAAAATGTGCAATTGAGATACAACTGAAATTTACAAAAACATTAAATAATATCTAAAGTAAATTTAAAGGTGAACACGCCTGATGACGCTATTGTATAGTGACACGTTGCAGATCTGCGAGAAAAAGTAAATAGGCTTAGTGACAAAGGATAACATGCACAAAACACAAAAAAAATCAAAGAAATAATGTTGAAAAACTCCCTTATATTTTACCACCACCAGAACTGTGAACTACGAGATTTTTTGAAGAAAAAACTTAAAACACTTCAATTATTTATGCAAAAATTTAAACTCTACATGGAACAATTTCGGAGATTTGTGCGAGTAAAACAGAAAACAAATGATTGATTCTCTCTCCCAAATCCGAGGCTCCAGCATAAGACTTTACCGCATTCACAGTAAAGGCAGTTCGCAATTTTTAGAGCAATTATTAAAATAAAAACAAAAATAGATGAAATTCCTGAGATCTTTTGAATGATTGCAGTTCAATTTGAACTTATTTTGCAGGTTTGCAGGTCATATATTTTCATCTGAAAAATAACTGAATGATAAGAGGTATAATTAGACATTACTCTAATGAAAAATCTTTTTTCCTTAGTAATTACGAACAAATTAATGATGTGAAGTCACATAATGTAATTTCTTACCATTTCTCTATTCTAAACAAAGTAACAAGGGCCACTATATACCCATTGGAAATGTGATTTAAAATTTACTATAAATTTAACTTATTCTGTGTGTATATGATCAGAGTTGTTTACAATTTTTAATATTTACTGAATTGTACATATTTTTGCAAAAATCTCTCAACAAAAAATTCAAAGTGTTTCTGAATTTCCTCATCAGCTCAGTGTCACTCCCTATGAAATGATTATAGGAACATAATTGACATTGACATCGGCCTATATCAGTATTATTCTAGTGTGTAAGGATTTTTCTCAAAGAAAAAGCACAAATTAACCTTACGTAAAAATTTAATAACGAGTAGAAAAATGTTAAAACCAGCATTGCTGGGATTTAAATAATAAATGTTGTTGAAAATCTAAATGTTTTTTTTCATCCCCTAATCCCTAGAAAAATGTTTGCTGTAGAAATTTCTTTAAATACTGGTTAAATCAACTGTATTACCAAAATAAAATATATATTTAACATATACAATATCTGGCATATCAATTAAGACAACACTTGTAAATATATCATACATGCATATGATCAGATTTCCAAAAAATGCAACAAATATATCAAACTTTAAAAACATGATTACAATGAAACTTTTCATTATATATACAAGTAAAAAAAAAAAATAAAAACATTACGATGAGTCAGAGTCTGACTCAATTTCTGAACCAACATCATTTTCCTCGTTATGATCTTCTTCACTACTGTCTTCCTCCCATTCGTTTTCACTCTCACTATGAACATCCATTGCAATATCGTCTTCTTCAGAATCACTAGATTCTGTAATAAAAAAAAAAATGTTCAAGTAACAAAAAATATCTACTTGTTTATTAAAATGCTTCTATAACCAAAGTAGCTGTCTCATAATATTGTTGCGAACCTAGTTTTCAAAACTCATTCGGTTTTGTGCAAGTTTTAACAACTCTATTTGATTTATTGGCGTTTTAGAAATACAAGATTGTTTATACATTTTCGTCAGTTATATACTCAAACAAGTTGTATTGCAGTTCAAGACCGTTGAGTTTCATTTTTCAATAAGTTTATTTTAATTATATCCACAATTGTGGATATATTAGGAGAACGGTCAATTTACGTCAAAACCAGGAATTATACAGACACATGAAATTCAGTTAAGCCATCAGTATTAGGACCTTACATTTCTTCAATATTGAATTTTGTGTACAAAATTAAACATTTAAAAATGAGTGTTCAGAAGCCAAGCGGCAATACGTACAATACGTATATGTACTTTTCCACTATACTGTAGGTCAATTTTTAATGTTTGTGCTAACAAAACCATATTTTAAGTATCTACAGCATCGGAGTCAGTTTGTTTTTTCCAGTAACTTTTTTCACTCTTTTCAAATACTATTATCACCCTTTGTATTTTGATTGTAACTATGAAAAATTTTGTAATTTTTCACTTGAACTAGCTTTATTCAATGAGTTCATATCATTATAGATGGATTCCGGTGCAACTTGTTGCATGAGTCCCATTTTCAAAATATACAACCCGTTTTAAAAAACATAAATCGAGCAAAATGTTGGTGAAAACAACATCATGCAAAGGATTGAAAAATGTTTAGAGCGAATTAAACCATGTATGGAAACGTTTCTTCAACAAAATCTAATATCTCTCACCAGTTGTCAACACCTATACCACAGATTAAATACAGATGCGAAAGCTAGGCCTCCCGCCAGAACCTAGTTTTTATACGCATGTGCAGTTACAGGTGGTTTCAACTTCAACCTCACTTTTCACTTTCCACTCAACGTTCCTTTGTTATTGTTTACAACTTTTATTTCCGTAACTATTGGAATATAATAAAATTTGTGAATAGGTGAAATATCTTTTATACAGGAGAATGTTTCGCAAAGGAGGAACAGTTTGTGTTGTTCGTGGTTGTTTTACAAAAACTGGGGAAAATACAAGGTTGTTCAGAATTCAAGAGAATTCTACAAGGTAGGTAAATGTTAATAATTTTCATTTCTCAGCATTATCTCAACGCAGTTTTTTGAACATTGTATTTATAATCATTTGGAAATGTCCCATGCAAATAAATTGATATTTTGTTAATGTTTTTTAGGGCTGCCTGTTGGCTACGGTTATGTAACAGAGGATTTATTAGGTATCCATGCCTTGCATAGAAACTATAGGGTATGTGAGAAACATTTCGCCAAAGAAGTCATTTCTCAATCTGGAACTCGTTAACATCTATTCCAAAATGCAGTTCCATCCATATTTACTCACAGTGCCACGAAGCACTGAGCACTGCGTGAGAAACTAAGAGCTATGACAAGGAAAAAATGCATGAAAACATCCAGTCATGAGAGAGATACGACTCTAGAGGACTTCAATGAGATGTATGACAAGTTTCTGAGTGAACCTTTATCAGGAATTGTCAAAACACAAGCCAAATTGAAGAAATTAAATCCGTCAGCAAGAAGGTATTCCACCGAATACAAACAATTTGCAATAACACTTCATTTTTTGGGGCCTCGAGCATATCATTTCATGAGTAAATTGTTCTGTCTTCCAACAAAATGTTGTTTGGAGCAATTAACTCAAAAGCTCACATTTAAACCAGGTTTTCAAAATGAAGCAGTTTTCAAATCTCTGGAGATCAAATCACAAAACATGTTAAATCAGGACTGGCCATACTGGTCGTGATGAGATTGTTGGGCTACATGATATTGGAAAGGGAAGAAAAGAAATGTTACTTGCTCAAAATGCTTGTGTTATTATGGTGAGAGGACTGTATAATAATTGGAAGCAGCAAATAGCATATTTTTTTGTGAATACAGTTTTCTGGTGTAGAACTACATTGTGTGATTGATGAGTGTATATCAAATTTTTTTACAGCTGGTTTTATTCAGTTATCTAATATTCTTGGTGTCACACCTAGTAATTGAAAGTTTCAAGTTGGTGACAGGAATATTATATATTTATTTGATACATTTGATGCAAAACGTTGTTTGTTTTGATAAAAAGAAAACATCATGGTCCTTCATAGATATGTTTTTTCAGCAAGTTGAAAAACAAACCTAGCCTTCAATTTTTTCAAAATTTGTAGGACAAACTTGCTACCAAAGTTCTTAGTAACACAGTAGTTAGTGCAATGAATACTTATGAGTTTGAGGGCTCTTCCTGCAGATGCCATGGCAATAATAGACGTAATTGAAAAATTTGATAAATCATTAGATTTATTGAATTCTTCTGACAATAATCACCCAAATAAATTCAAAAATGTTTTTGCTGGGTCTGATGGGATACATATTGTGTTCTCAGAAGGACATCGGCTCAGTTTGTAATTATTTTCCTTCCAAACCTGACGAAGAAGTGTTTAGCCTTCTCGTTGGTCTTCGCCGAATGGTATTTATTAGTGAACTCTGGAATATTCTGTATTATCAAATGCATCATGCACAAAAATCAATGCTTATTCATCATATAGTTATTGTTGTGGTCACTAATACCAATGCCAACTAATAAACACATCCAATTTTCAAATATTACTGTATATATTATATTGCACAAAAGTACCTACTCATGATGTAAATGTCGTCAGTTCTTTGATGAAAGATGTTTTGTGGTACCGATATACTTTACAAACCTTCATCAAAATTTATCCTCTCTGTGTATTTTCATATGTCTGGTAATTGTAATTAATTGATTTTTTTTATTTTGATTAAATTTATTTTTAAACTTTATTTTTCATTCCTGTTATTTTTTACTTGCTAAAAATATATGTAATGTAGTGAAATAAACATTTATCTATCACATATTTCATGGAAATGTGTCTATTGAAATTGATTTCATGCTGTTATTGATAATTAAGTACATATGCTTTGTTATTTCAATCAATTGAATGTAATGAATAAACAAGTCCCATTGTTTCATTTTTCAAATAAGAAGTATATTGTTTAAGAAGAACAGATAATGATAATTTAGGTAAACTGAAGTTTATGTTTACCAGTTATTGGGTGACAAAGTAGCCTGCTTGCTATGTGTATTATTCATTTATCTATGAAATTTATCTCAACCAATAAGAAGTGTAATTTTTGTAAGAGGAAATAGTTGAAATCAACCAAACCTTTTTCTCCGTGTATATCAAGGTGGTATACACATCATATTCAAGGTTACGAATTTTGAGCCATAGAACATCTCAAAGGCGACATCAAAGCTTTCGCATCTGTATTTAATCTATGCCTATACTATCAAACAGAATAATTTTGTTTTTGTGAATTCAGAAGTCGAAAGTAAGCTGAACATATGGACTGAAGCAGTCACTGAAAGTACGAGAGAAAAACAAATTTTATTTGCCCCTTAAATTTCTTTGTCTTTAATGAATGTATCTTTCAGTGTAGGCCCGCAAGAGTTATTGTGGTATTAGCAAACATAGTTACATGACAAAAAGAGTTATTAGCAAACACCACTTAATAATAATCTTTATTGGTTTCAGAGACCCAAAAGGTATAAAAACAAGTCAAAAGAAATTTGAATTTGTTTCGTTTGTGAAGACTTATAGGTAGAATTTGAAATTATTCTATAACTCTTTTGTATTTAATAACAACTTTAGCAAGTGGAATATACATAATTGTGACATCAACCAATCAGATAGCATTTTGATGTCATTATTTCTTATTTGAATAACACTTTATTGTGATTTCACCCAAGTTTACAAAACCGCGGCCTATGTTTCACTATATAATAGCTTCTTCAGGTGTGAAGCGCATGTAAGGGTTTTGTGAAATTTCAAGTGAAAATCTTACAAAAAAGTGTTATTTGAATCGGTTACAACGGACTTTCATCAAGTATCCTCCAATTCCATCCTATATATAAATTATTGGTTGAATATAATTAGTGAACATTTAATGATAATATCTTGTGAAACGAGTGCGATCTCTATGGGAGAATACAATGCAAAATTCTACTTTTCATATTGGTCTTACCTTTATCATTATATACAAGCAATGGTTCTTCATTCTCGTTTTCTTCATGAGAACTGCCACCAACCTGAGGTAGTAACAATTCTAACCTTCCCTTTAACATGTTAAGTGGTGTGAGTGGAGCTAGTCGACTTGCTATACTTCCTAAAGTTGAGCCAAAGAGATCAGAAAGATCTGGATTGGACATGAGGATACCAGCATGAATTTGTAGAATATGTTTAAACCATATGGCACCTATTTGGCTCCTGAAAAATAAGTGAAAATTAATAAACAATAATGTGGAAATTCAAATAATCAATTATAGTATACAAAAAAAAGAAGTCTTACTAATTAATCAATCAACTTTCTAAGAAAATCAAGAAATGTACAAGAAATTTTTTCTAATTATTTTTAGGTTTTGTCAACTGAAAGCATTGTAGAAGAACAGAAAAAAAAGAGACTTTTGCATCCTTATGATTTTAAGTGAAACTATATGAAAAAATGCAGACTTAGAAGCAAATATTTCACATATTTCAAATTTACAAAGCGTAGAATAAAATGAAACCGATGAGATGGACTAAAAATATATGAAATTAACTTGTCCTTCAAAGAAACTAAGTATACACGATAATATAAAATAACCAATGTGAATTTCAGTGAATCCTAATAAAGTCTTTCTCAATAATTTCATACACTATGCCTCCACAAAGTTTGTGGAGGTATAGTTTTTGAATAGTTTGTGAAGTTCTTTCAAATGCTTTTCGTTTATCTAGCAGCATCTCGCTGAAAACCAAATGATCACTTACAGACTGGTTTATAGTATTATTCTTGCAGGGAAGCTCTGCAAGAATTTTCTTTCAAAATATTCATTTTCTCAATTCATACGTGTTTATCCTCGACACAGACTTATTTGATTTCTGTTATAGAGAGTAGTTTCAATATTTGTAACAGAAATATTAGACGGAATTTTTTTTGCCAAGTGTTAAAACATCCTAATACCGTCGGCTATTCCCAAGGTACTATTCACGGTGAAAAGAATTTTCTAATTGACATCACACAAAAATTTTTGGAAACGTGTTGTAGCTGATTACACATGAAAAACCTATGATTTTTACTTTGAATTCTGTTCTGGAAATAACAAAAAAATGACATAAAAATTTACTTAAGAAGTTACTAATTTAAAATACTTACGACAAAGTTTTTCCTTCAATAAACACACTCAACTCTTGTATCAAAGGTACTAATACAGTTATGTTCAGTCTTTTGATGGTATTTCTGATAACATTCTCTTCTCTTTTGCACAGAACAGTTCTCAATATATTTTTATCCTTACTATGCAGCCCCTGAACCAACAATTGTGCGACATTATTAGATTTTGGTATCTTTGAATCACCATCTGCCTTATTCAATTCCAGATTTTCCAATCTTTTTTCCATTGGTACCTCTAATCGACCATCATTTTTTCTTTTTTTGGTAGATATGCTGGATGTTTGAGAAGTTAGATAATGTACGTCATTACCTACAATTGGGGTTATTGTTTTGGATTGTTCATCTGGTTTGGATATCGCTAATGTTCGAGGATCTTTCCGTACCAAGCACAGGTGTCTTTTTGGGGAAACAATTGACTGAAAATAAGAACATTTGGCAATCAAATTATTTCTAAGAACAACAATATGGTCAACCTACCACATTTTCAAACGTTAAAACAATTTCAGTGCCATGGCCTATACACAAGCTATCATCATCCCTGTATATGGCACCAAAAATTCTAATTGGTGTAACAGTATTTTTTGAATGCCCAGCATCTGAAACTACTTGGATTGTTGTTTTTGGCTTCAATGGTTTACCACATTTTCTGTAAAATAAAAGGAAACTTATTCATATTAATATATTAAAGCTTTCATTTTAAAAATAAGTTACGAAATAAAAGATGAAACCAGAACCTCTGGCATAGAATAAATACAAAACACTTTTTCCAATCACCAGAAATGCAGTACGCTTCTCAACGTACTTCACCAACCGAGTTGACATCTTCAAAAAGATGAAGATAACTAATTAAGTTTTATTCTTCTCCATTTTGGTAAGTGAAGAAAAGATTATTGCATTTCTGGTGAATAGGAAAATTAGTTTGAAGTTACGAAATATTGATTTCTAAACCATAAGGTATCATAATTAATTTTCTACTTTCATGTATACAGGGTGTAACTAAATAAGTGTAAAACATTCAATGATGTGATTCCTCATCGAAAAAAAGATAGGATCTTTCATATAAAGAAATTTCATTGGAGCATCCCTTGTTAAGATGTTAAGATACAGCCCCTTAAAGGGGGTACATAAAATTTGTATAATAATTTTTTTCACAATTCACTTGTTATTAAAATGGCATACACAAATGAGGAAATGGCTGATATGCATTACGTTTACAGTCTGTCGCAGGGAAATGGGTTAGANCAATCAGTGTTTATTGTACCTGTTTACATTCATATTCATTTCATAAGTAAATTAGTTTAAGATTCGAGTAGTGTATACTAACTGGGAGTTACCCATGAATAAATAAATAATTAAAAAAAAATCCATGTATAAAATTATTTTTCCTAAACGACTCATAAAGTAAATCTTTTTACATTATGAGAACTTGTGCAAATAAAGGCATTAGTACAACAAACAAAACATGTAAAACTAAACTTTAGAAAAAAAAATTTTGGACAAAGATCAGGCAATTGAGATAAACCTAAAGATTGAACATTGAGTAACCATGACAGTTTGTGCTTAAAGTCAACAACTGAGAATGTTTTCCCAAATGAATTCAATCTCCAGCGATTCAAATCAAATCTGAATCACTACTTTCGAACAGGCACTACTGTTGGAGCGCCTTAAGGATTATCCTGTAGGGCTTGTGTTTTGTACTGCTGAGTAACCTAAAAACTCCTAATGGATGGAAAGAAACATAAAACAATTCGCTAACTCTCAGCGTTCAGGCTGTATTCAAAAAGAATAAATCTAAAAACTGTGGCTATTAAATCTCATTGTTGAATTTTCGAGAAAGAAGAGTTATCTTATTGTTCACCATAATCAACAAAATAGAAAATAGCTTCAACCCATTTAAATGGGCTGTAAACCCATTTGAATCATTTTAGTGGTTTCAAAGTGTAAAATCCTCAGAGCAAGTCCTTCTTAGAGATACACATCTAAAACTTTATTCCAAAATCTGAAAAATCAAACTGGACGAACTGAAGGCCCAAAAAAAAGCAGATCAGGAAATGTGACAATAAGAAAGATAAAGAAGGCCACTACACATATGGGGAACGTTAAAAAATAATTTTGTGCTTTGCTCAATTCCTATATCCCCATGGCCCCTGAATAGCTAAATCAACATTGATTCAATCAATTTTTGACATTCTCTTCTAAAATTCCATGCATATATATTTTATGTATATTCCACTCTTTCTGAGTGTGTTCCTGTTATTATATCGAAAAAGTAGGTAGAGCTTACTTAATAGTTTTTTTTTTTAAATAAAGTAAAATAGAGTTCAACATCTGTTTTTCAATGAATAAAAAAAAAGAGAACAAAACGGTAATTTTTCAAATATATTATCAGATGCTTCAGACATTTTTCTAACTGGTTTCTACTAAGATAACTCAATTGCGCTATTTTTTCTCTAGTCAACTATTTGTTGGCTCTATTTTTAACCATTTGCAAAATTCCTGTAGTTTTCCTTCTTACTTTAGACACAGTTAATATCAAATTAATTTTTGTAATGTCAGTACCTCAAGAGTTAGTGACATTACAAAAGTATCACTACTATTTTGGATGTAACCGACAACCATGACTTGAGTTTCAAAAAAAAATAGATTCAACCAACAAAAAAAATTTAGTGATCCTGATAACAATTTCATCCAGTAAGAAAAGTAATAAAGTGAAATTATCAGATAATTATCCTCGTATCTGTAACACTTACCCATTCAGAGTATGCTGAAAGATGTGCACTACACCACTTCTTACAGTAGCAGCCAAATTTGTCGATCCGTCAGCTCCAACATGTATCGATACATTCTGAACAATATCTTCCATGAGAAAACTTGCAACAGCATTTTTTTCGTTCGAACCATCACTCAAACTCCAGCAATTTAAAAGTCTGTCATCCTATAATATATGCTTATGAATAATATTATCTTTATATATTCAATTTTGAGCAATACTTTGTTACCCCAGCTTTCATGAAAAATTCTAAATCTACATTGTTACTATATGTTGGCAGTATTGAAATGAGTGGACGTCAAAACGAGATTGTCAGATTTCAAAAATTATTATTAGTTATGCTCTAAAGGTAGTAAATTCCTCATCCACTTATTACATATGTTTTCATTCAATATTTTCATCATTTAAATATACCTTGACATCTACTCTACATACAGAAATAATTTCTATAACCAAAAAGTTTGGGGAATTAATGAAATGCATTTGAATTAAAAAAAAAACAGGTATTCTTTCATAATTCAGCCTTCAACTGACCCAACAAAAACTATTGTTAATTTTTGTGTAGAGGTGTAGAACATAAAATGCTTTGTTTTCAGTTTGACTTTGTGAGAAACGAATCTTTATTTTGTCATATGATTATCCCATTGTTTTATTCCTGGATTTCCCTATGGAATATGAATATGGCCACACTATCCATCTATGTAGACGAAGATTCCCGTATATAATGGAACAGCAGAAAAAAAGTTAGTAATAAAAAATAAGTGATAACCAGATATATACACTCCATGTAACTACACTACATGTAAGTCGAACAAGTATCTAAAAATATTGGACGCAAACACGTCATTTAGTTACATACGTCTAGTTAGAGCAAACAAACTATATTATGTGGAGTGCCTTAGGGAACAGTGCTGGGGCCAATCCAGTTTAATATTTATATTAACAACCTGTTTTTGTTGGAAACATATTCTGAAATTATAAGCTTTGCTGACGATGCTGTTTTGTTCTACTAAGACAATAAATGGTTCAATCTGAAAGTCAAATTGGAAAACAATTTGAATCATATAAAATTCTGATTTGACTACATACTCCTATCCATAAATTTCAGACAAACTCTATATCTACCATTTAACAGCTATGACCTCTCATTAGCAAATTATGAAATCCAAATTACTGATAAACTAGCTATGAAACCCACAGCACGTAGAAAACTATGTTGGATACTTTATAAATATAAAACGATCGCGAGTATCCTCACTCAAAAGAAGAGATAATCCTATATAAGAGCCTTGTAGTCTCATCTGAACTCTGATATCATTCTCAGAGTATTGCAGAATTACATTTGTTTCTCTTGGTATTAGTTGATGAAGAAATGTTAGTTAGGTAATTTTTGTCATTAATAATAATTTTGGAATAATGCTAAGAGATAAGACGCTTAAAGCTGAAATAGAATTTTCACAATATAAAACAGATACTTTAAAAATACTTCTTCATCAGAAGTAAAAGCTTTAGAATTATAGTGGAATATTGATAAATATATTTAAAAAAACTGGGTAGTGTTTACATTCTATAGGTCTACATAATTTACCTATGGTGTCAAGTATATCCTTTAATATTATAGATCTCGTACTTGAAACCAATTCATAAATTCATTCAAAGTACACTCTTCTTTCAAACAGTAAAAATTTATAGAATACATAGAAAGTTTGACATGAACAGAATCAACTCAAATACCAATTTCCCTTTAGTTAATTCAAGTACAGTAAGTAATAACCAGAAATGGTATTAAGTAGAAAAAAAGTTGCTAAAATGCATTTTGGTCAGTTATGGAAACATAAATGAAACTGTTAAAGAAGCTGAAAAAAGGTAGTGTCCCACGCAGACAAAACATTTCAATTTGTAGCTAATCTGATCAACAAAATATTATCACTTTTGTATTTACCTTTGATCCGGATATGAAATAAGAATCTCTTTTGGATTGAGGTGTCACAAAATGTAAGAGAGTCACTTCCGAACTGTGTCCCGTAAAAGTTCTAAGTATTTCTTTAGCATCTACATCCCATAGACTGATATTTTTTGCAGCTGTTATCACTTGTTTGCTATCTGGAATCGCCAAAACTGCAGTAACCTTTTCATTACCTGCTTTCCATTTACTGAAAACAACATACTATATTTTTGTGTTTCATTTGTATGTCAACATACCTCACAAGTGTTTTTTTCTCAAGATTCCACTCGAATACATATTGTTCAGCACCAGAGTATATTTCCTTATAATTTGCTGAAGATAAGCAAATCAGTGATTGACTAGTTTCACTATTAAGTGTACATTCTAAATTCCCTTTTGAAATTGAATATACCAACAATAAACCTGCAGTTGTTCCCAAAACAATCTTGGGACCGAAATTTGTCCCAGAGTCTTTTCGTTTCTTCTTTTTGGGAGAAGCCCCCTGTGGAAGATAAATAAGTATAAATAAATTATTTTTTGAGATGTAAGCACATGTATTTGTACCTTATATTTAAGTGAGTTTGTTTCCATGAAATGTAAACACGTACATGGCGACGTTAAGTGAAAGTCTGGAATGAATTCTTGTTCAAAAGAATTTGTTAATGTATTCCATATTTTCAGTTTTCCATCGGTTGAAATTCCGGCAAAATATTTGCCATTTTCACAGAACTGTAAAGCCATCGTCTCCGCCATTAACTAACTACACACCACACATGTTCTAACCACAATTTTCTTCTTCCTTCTAATAGGAATTATCAATGTCATTTTATAAAAGTTCCTTTCTTCTTCTTCTTATCGTTTTTTATGGTCTTAGCTTCCTTTCGGTGCAATTGCATAACGGATGTTATGCAACAGTCGCTTCGTCCGGAGACGTAGTATGTCTTGCTTATCGCAAACTACGTCTTTATGTTGTTAATATACATTTTTTTACTAATGACAGTCTGTAATTGTTTGTGCTCACAGGTGGTTTATTTTTGATTTAGGGGTATCTGGGATTTTAACGGATATAATTAGGAATATTTGGGATATTAGGAAAATCAACCTTCTCGTTTTTCTTCATACCTGTATATAGTTGTAAACCATATACTTAATCAAATCTTTGCAAATTCTGTAGTTTAAGTTTTTCAGTACTGTAATCATGTTCAAAGGACCTGAGATTCCATTTTGAATCATTTTTTGATAAAGATCTTGTCCAGGGATAGTGTTGATGGGGCACTCTAAAAA